GGGTGGGGGTAAACGAGCTACTGTGACAGATCACACTTACCCACCCATATGCAACCAAAAAGCTTCAGGAAAGCCTTTACTTTTCCAGTCCCCTTATCAAGAAGAAATTAGAGAACAAACACGGGGACTGAGCACACATAACTTTTCCTACAACTACAATATTACCAAAAAACATAAAGACTCCAAGCACGCATTATCATCTGGTTTCTCTTTTCCATCTATAATTTTAAAACAGGTAATTTCACTGGCTCTATTTTATCAGACCACTTAAGGAGCTCAGGTACATACAGAGTGAGGAATGAAACATTTATATGGAAGAAATGTGCCAGTTCTTAGTAGCCAAAGGCCAAAACTTCGATCTCTAATCTCAACTTAAGCATGATTGTTTTATCTTAGAAAAACTACTTAGCCTATAATGCATTAGTGTTATATAGATGAATATGCTTTAAATATTACATAATCTTTACAAGTGCAATGCAAGTAAAGTTCAACATTTATAACATCAAGTTAATTCACCAATTAATCAGACCTAAGGTACATTTTAACAGTAAAATTATGCTCCACTAATAAGCCAGGTAAGAGAGCTACACTGGTTAAGATATTTTCGTACTTGCTAACATTTCCTACCTCAAATTCAACAACTCACTCATGCTCTAAATGCAAGTCATCGTTAATCATGCAAAAATTTCTACCTCGCAAATATATTAATATTTCATAGGTTTACTTATACTATAACCACCATGAAAATTAGTTTAATAGGCAGCCCATAAAAAAGGGCTTAAAGGCTGCAGTCTACATTGAGTGAAATGCAAGCTCTGAAGTCTCTCTAGAAACACGCTAGCAATCAGAATAGGTCCAGAAACAAACTGCTTTAAAACACATTTTTGAAAAACATAAGTATACAGCACCCTGTTCTACTCTTTTTATATCTTGGCATAAAGTTATTTGGATAACAATTAAAACGTTGATGACAAAATTTAAGTGATTCAAAAGAGTAACATACCCAGCGCACAAGTAATTTTAACTAGAAGGAAATTAAGCCATCTGGCAAATGCACTAAAATACAGCTTTGATTCTATTTTCTGATTGTACTCAAAGACGTTTAAGCTGACTACCTCTGACCACTACCTCCTCCAATTAAGGAGCACCCTTTCTGTTCTTCTATTATGAAAGAAAAGCAGGAAATCATGACTGCCCCTTGATTTCTATCTTTCAAACAGCTGAACCACCTGAAGTGCAGAAAAATTCTGCACCTGTGCTATGCCAATTAAGCATTTCATTAACGTGGTGGAAAATCGGTGGTAAACTATTTGAGATCAGTTTGGGGGTGTGAATTTAAAAAAAAAAAAGTATCTAAAAATACACAGTGCTTAAATATCTGTGCTGATAATACTTTAAATTGATACCCTCCGAGTAACCTCTCAAAAACAAAACTTCAAAATTCATGATTTGGGGTTTTGGTTTGTTTGGACTTTATTACCATTTTCTCTTATTTCAAACTATTCTTTGCTGAATTCACCCTACAAGATAGGCTGCTGTACCAGTCAAGCACAGACCCAACGCTCCTGTTCTTTAGATTCAGGAGAACTACCCAGTAAAAACAAGGAAGGACTTACTTTAAAGACATCCATGGTAACAAATCAGCAGACACTGAACTAATGTGATTGCATTCACACTGGCTAACAAAACAAGCACACCTTTTCCCTGTACTTTATGGATTCAAAAGAAAGGTTTTAAGTAGCTGTTTCTCCTGGTTATTCAGATTTTAAGTCCTAGCTTTTCTGTATCACATTAAGAAGAAAAATCAACAGATAATCTTAACAGCAACAGTCTCAGCTTCAAACTGAAAGTTTTGCCACTTTAGAAGAACACTTCTTATGAGAAAAGTAAGACCACCTTAAATACCTACGGAAAAAAGGCTGCTTCCACACCAAATTGCATCTAGAAATCTTACCTGCTACTTGTAGCAAAGGAGTGTCCAAATACTGTGTCCTCGCTGACGCTATCACACACACAGCAACTTCCCCAAATCTTCCATTTACTATGGCACAACTTTTTTTAAATAGGCCCGTATGACAAATTCATTTTACAATGTAATTGTCACACTCCTAGTATCGTTCAAACAAGCTGTCAGACACTACAGGGTCAAAATTAAAAGCTGTATCAACAGTAACTGCTAATATGTCACTTCCACTGCTGTCACTCCCAATGCAAAGGAAACGTCTGAGATAACATCTGACACCCACCACCCACCCCCATTCCCTATCACCCAGTGTGCCACCCAATGTTTACAATTCATGACAACTCAAGAGTCTAAATATCAAGAGTTAAACAGCAGGGATACACAGAAGACAGTTATCTTAACTAATTTCTCAGAGCAGCACTCTGGAAAGTCATTTTTACATCAGGATACAGCCCATCACATCTGCATTATGGCAGGCGAACAACTTACAGTGCTCTTTACAGACCGACCAGTAAGGACAAGGCTACAGATGGGTACCTTCAAAGTGAAAACTATGTCCTACTGATGCCTGGGATGTCACCCCAAGAAAAGACCCACCTTTGGCACTGGATATGGGACAGCATTACAGCTAGACATGACCAACAGCCAGCAAACCAGGCAACAAGGCAGGCTTTGAAAGAGGAAAAGGAAAGCCACAAGCAACATATACATTCAAAAGACAGCTGAGTTCTCATGAGATATGCAGAACCAACATAAGTGCTTGTACTTGCTGAAAATCGTGTAATGCAAAGTATCCCTTCATCTTTTCCTTCTCCTTGCATATCCCTGTGCCCTAGCCCAGCCCCCACTTGCTCTCCATGTTTAACTCAGTAAAATGACAAAAATATTCCAGCAAAAATCTGAAAAACTAGACAATAAGAGTCCACCTCGCTAAAACGCCAGAAAACCAATAAGCACTGGAACTATGAAAAGAGAAGGGAGGGGCCACACAACTGGAAAGAAAGGAACACCACCAGCTCGCCTTTTTGGCAGGCTGGTAGCTTGTGAGCCACCACTTGTAAACAAAGCTCCTAAGATCATCTCCCTGCCAGGGGGTCCAAAAGGTCCTAGACAGGTGGAACAAACAGTATGGGATAAAGTTATTCATAAAGTAAATATCAGAGCATTTTATAACTGTGACAGATGGTGCATCAGGACTTGTTTAAAAAGTCTTGCCATGAGTGTCTCTCTAAACTACTCATCCAAAATTAAAACACAAAGTAAAGATTTTTAAAAAATCTAAATTAGTTTTGGATTTTAAGAAAAGAATTAATCACTGATAGCTATTGGTTCAAGCCTTCCCTTGATGAGAGTAACCATTAAGTCACTGCCATCTGCTGTTTCTGTAATAACGGAATAACCATTAAAACTGACCCAGCCTGACATTCCTGGACTTCACAGCAGAGGAGCCAAGAACTAAAACAGACCTCACCACCAAAACAGCTCACCAAAGACATGTCCCCAAAGGCTTCTTCAAACTGAGTAAGAACTACTAAGGAATGAATGAAAAAAATGGAGCTAGGAAAGACTCCGAGGTGGCAACTCAGTTCTCTCTTGAGCTAGACTTAAACCGCTCATGACAGATGTTTGGAAACAACGCAGATTGCCCAGCCAGCCTTCCCACATAAACTAAGCCAGGTCTGAAGATCGTATTATCTAGTTTCATACACGCACAAGCAATCACTGGAAACCAACCGCCTCTGCAGCTGATCTCTACGCTAAGGTGGGAATCTGAACCTGAAAATAAAAAAAAACCCTACTCAGGTCACTACTGCCACCAGCCAGGCACCTCCTCGGAGCTACGCGGGCAGGGCTCTCCCCAGATCTCTGAAAGCGAATAACCGTGTAAGGCACCAAAGCCAAAACAAAGCCAGCCCACCGACACCTCTCCCTCACAAGAGGGGGCTGCTAGAGTGGCAGAGCAGAGCCCGGAGGTGCAAATAAAGAGGGGAGCCAGCAAGGAAGAGGCTCCTCTCCCGCGGCCCCTGCCCTCCCCGTCACCCCCGCAGGCGGCTGCCCGAGCCGGCCCGTCCCCCTC